TATGCCACCAACGATCTCCTTAAGAGATCATATGAGGCCGGTAGTCAAACTTCTTGATAGACTTGGTATCAGTAAAGGCATAAAATTTAATACGACTTTCAAAAAACAAAGTAAAGATAAGAAAGAGGATGAGACAACTACATCCACTGATTCCACTATGATCAACCCTCTTTAGTCCGAAATTTAAGAGCTTGTCAATAAGGATGTAAGCCTTATTTCGAGCTTTGTCGATGCTCTTAAAAGGGAGCAAGGATAGTCCTTCTCCTGAGCATCAGCTCCTCTTTCCCTTATTCTTACCTTATGGATTACTCATTTATTGTATGGAATTGTCAAGGCATTGTAAAAACTGGTCTCTGACGCACCCTAAAGTCATTTGTCAATATCCACAACCCTGTCTTGGTTGCGTTAATTGAGCTTAGGACGGCAGGCAAAAAAACGGATAAAGTGATCAAGAATCTGGGCTTTGACTACTCCCATAGAGTTGAGACGGTTGGTTTTTCGGGAGGCATTTGGATGATGTGGAGAGAGTCTATCCAGGTTATTGTGGACTAGAACTATCATCAGTTTATCCATTCCAAGGTAAGTAGGAATGATGGTTGGGAAGATTTTTCCCTCTCTATTGTTTATGGGAGCCCAAACCCCCAAAAATGAAAAGACCTTTGTAAGGAGCTCACCATTATCGGACATAACTTAGATCACCCTTGACTCCTTATTGGGGATTTCAATGTCATCCTAGAGTCGGACGACCGAAGAGGGGGGACGGCTAAACAGTCTAAAGGTTGCGCTCTTTTTAACTAGTTTATTAATGTTAATTCTTTACAACAACTTGATTATGTAAGGCCGAACTTTACATGGCGACGTGGGACCATTTTTCAATGGCTTGATAGAGTTATGTGTAATCAGATGGTTCAACCACTTCCCGAAGGCCATCGTTCACCACCTTCCAGAAGTCCAATCTGATCATAGGCCTATCCTGATTATTCCTTACACCCGTCATTCTCACAATAAGTACCCTGAGCCCTTTTGCTTTTTAGCTGCGTGGCTATCTCACCCTGATTTCCCTAACTTAGTTAGGAGAAATTGACAAAACCATCTTCCTATCCAGGAAAATATTAGTAGCTTCAGTGAGACTGTACAAGACTGGAATAGAAATGTGTTTGAACATATCACTAAGAGAAAACGTATCCTCTTGGTAAAACTGGATGGGATCCAATGGGCATTGGAGAGACACCACTCTGTTCGGCTTCAAAAGTTGAAAAACTCCTTGAAAGATGAATTAGAGGGGGTGTTATTACAAGAAAAGATGCTTTAAAAACAAAAATCTTGATGTAATTGGATTTCTCTAAGGGATAGCAACACCAAATACTTTCATACTCAAACTACCTCTAGAAGGAAAAAGAACAAAATTAATATGCTTAAAGATGGAGATAGTAATTAGAGTACCAATGAAGGCCAGCTTCGGGTAATGACATTCACTTTCTTTGATAACCTTTATACGGCC